ATCCGTGTTTTTATCTAAAAATTCTATATAACAAGAAAGATTGAGTAATAAATATGTATTGAAATTGCAGAATGACAAATATTATGAAATAAAAAATTAAGGATAGAACGACAACTATTTTGAAATAGAAGGAGTAGTATTTTGTTTTTTTCTTTTCTCTTTTGTCTGATTACGAATCTGATTATTTCCAAATTTGTCGCTTTCAAGCAATAAACAACGACGCGTGTATCCATAAAGCGCGTTAAAACTCGTAATTGCGTAATCCAATATGGCAGGTTTATCTAATCTACCGTTAATTACATCACTAATCCAAACCGATATTTTTGCCTTTAAACATACGCGGATAATTAAATTGTGTAAATATATACTCCTGAATTAATGCAAATACATTACAGTTGGCCAAAATCTGCGAACGGATTTGATTAAAGTTTTTGAGTCAAATCTGTAACATTAACTTTAGCTTCGATTTGGTCTCAACTCTTTTTTATTTATTTAGCTGCTAAACGCAATCTAGCTTATATAGACCATGAGGCTGGACTGAAAACAGAAGTATATAGACATATCAACATCAAATCATAATTCATATGCAAAAGCACATGACATGCTTAAATTATCCCAAACATGGATGAGTTTAGACAGTGCAACGTCTCTATGTTTGTGTAGATAAGCATGTCCTAGATATGTATGTTATTGAATGATTCAGGTGTATTGTGTGGTGTGAATAGATAAAAATCATTATCGTGATTAATATAAACGCATTTACTATAGCTATGGTCGGTCCTTCTTGTCTCGTTTATGTCTTTTATACACTTTTTCTCTATACGTCACTCCTCTTTACTTCCTCACTTCTTCTTCGTGTGGGATCCGGTTTCACTTCTTTTGTTACCTTTTTATCATCACTAAAAGAGAAATAAATACTAATTTATTACTTTTTTTTTTTTTTGGCGACTACGAATTTATTACTTGACTTCACATTTTCAAAGTTTTTAAAATAATAGTATGAGCAAAAAGAAAGAAAACCAAAAAAATGATAAACGTGTGTCAAGTGTGTAGTTTTCATTGGGTCACCATTATGGCCGGCCCATAGGATATGATAATTGTTTATCTCCTCCTTAAGAACTAAGTATTTTATAGTATATACACTTATCATAAATTTGGTCGCTTTCTAGTTTAATTGAATCAATAATATAATACTGACTTTGTAAAGATAATTATTATAAGAGGAATTGTTTGATGGTGGATTTGTTGGTTTAAATATTTCGTTTTTCAAAGTCAAAAGCTTAACATTCACTAATCCACTGGGCTGGGCCAAACTTTGAAGAAGGATTTGTGGAGTTATATTGTCCATTATAAAAACGTCACACAGTGCTAAAGCGTACGAGTCAAACGGCAGAGCATGTCGACATAAGAACTCCTTTCGAGTCTTCTTTTGCTTTCTCTATCTTCGTATAAACAAACATTGGGGATTTTTTGAGCGCATTGCAGCGGGAAATCGTCTTTCAAATTCGTATGATTTGGTCGAAAATTGAAGTCAATTCTCGAGTCTAGAAGTTCCTCTTCCTCATCTCTGTTGGTTTTTCCCTGAAATAAATGGATTTGGATTCTGTGAAGGAGTTTATACGAAGGGAAGTTCCGGATTGGGACGATGAAGTTGTGGCGATGGCGAGGTTTAAGGCGTTTAGTGGGCAAAGATCCGATTGGGAACACAAATTCCAGATTTGGCGAGATTTGATTCTCAAGGTTTCGCGTCATTTCGGAGTATTCATTATTGATCCTATCCAGGTCTTGCTCAATCGCTTTTGATTCTTTAGTGTTCTAATTAGTAGAAAGAAGTGATTA